TGGGTTGGTAAGACTTTATTTTAGTAAGAAACCCAACTTTTTTACAATTTTCACTTTCCATAGATTCATGAAAAGTTTTAAAAACTTTAAAAAATATTAGACATAAATGTGGGGTATTTATAATTAAGTGTTTAAGTTTGTGCCGCCGGGAGTGGTATACATAAATTTAAATGTTCTTAATGGCACTGGAATAAATTCAATTTTACCAAGATCTTGGTGGACAATTTGAACCCAAAATATCGGTATACAACACGTGACTATTTTCAATTTTTCATAAATATTCTGTATCATTTAAGTAAATTGCCTTGCTAAAATTCGAAGAAATTTAAATTTAGCCACCTAATTTTCACGGGAATAAATATTGTACTGTAAAGCTTATCTAAAATGAGCCTTTCTCATTTACATAATATCGAAGAAATCTGTATACTCCACGTGCAGTTTTTTCAGAAATTTTCTTCTAAGAAATCGACCAAATTTTCACTGAATTTATACACAAAGTTTACATACTTTCTTTCACTTAAAATATTAAATGGATACGACTTTCTTTTCTCTAATCTACATTAAATCTAGAAACCGGTAGGCGCCACGTGACGCTTCTGTTGCAGCAAAATTTCCTAAAAAAAATTCTACAAAATTTCCTCCTAAAAATTCATCGACCAAATTTTCACCGAATTTATGCCCAAAGTTTGCATACTTTCTCTCTTGCTTAAAATATTGACTTTCTTTTCTCTAATCTACATTAAATTTAGAAACCGGTACACCCCACGTGACACTTTTGTTACAGCAAAATTTTGAAAATCCCGTAAAATTTCCTTCTAAAAATTCATCGACCTAATTTTCACCGAATTTATGTCCAAAGTTTGCATACTTTCTCTCTCGTTTAAAATATTGAACGGATACTAGAGTCTCTCCCTCATTTGCATAATATGCATGCACCCAGCGAACGAGCGAGGGAAAGCAGGCTGAAAGATTAATCCAGGTGAAAGTCGGATACGAGGAGAGGGGAAATAACAAGCTGACTGTAAGCTGGGCTGTCGTGTATGCAAATTTGATGGGAGAAAGCACACACACATACATGCGATTAAACTCTGAACGAGGAAAATACACATGTCCAGTTTTGTAATATTGATGTGTTAAATAAGTTCATGTTTTTCGGAATGGCGGGAATTTTGAGAAATTAAATAAACATGGGTGTACGAAACACCGTATTTACAACCATTTTATCTTGTCTGTGTTGGCGGAGATGTGTTTTAAGGGGAAATTTACATGGCAAAATTTTGCGTATAAATTTTTAGGCAAAATTTTGACATTAATTTTGCACGGGTCGTTGATTTGTTTCGAATCCAGGTATAAATTTTGTATTTACAGTATTTGCGGGAATTTTGAAAAATAAACTAAATTTGTGTGAAACGCTGTATTTGAAACTATTTTTTGGAAAGCTACGCTTTGCTATTCTAATGTAAAATTTTGAAATATGAATTTTACCCGGGTGTCAATTTTGTTTCGCGACCTGGTAAAAATATAAGTTTGTTACGTGAAATATTGGCGGGAATTTGGAAAAATTAAGTACAAAATGTATGAAACGCTGTATTTATAGCCATTAATGTAACAAAACTCGATTTGTTTTGACGGAGATGCACTTATTTTTAGTGAAAAATTTTGCACGAAATTGTACATTGCAAAGTTTGTACAAAAATTGCACTTTAACATTAATTCCCTCTCTCTCTCTCTCTCTTTAAAGCGGGTGCATCCTCCTGCATGTGGTTAATGGTATGAATTGGCACTTTCTGGGCTAAATAATGACGGCGCTTGATGAGTTTCCCACGTCTCTGGAAATATCCATGTGTCGCCCACTTAACCCATTTTCCCCTAATTTAATCTCCTCTCCGGAAACTCATCATCTTGACTTTAATGACAACCAGGGTTTCTGACAAGCAGGGTTGGGACAATCCACGTCAGAGTGTGATTTACTGTGAAATATGTGATTTCTGTGATTATGCAGTAACTTTCTGTAACATAGTTTTAGATAAAAACCAGCTTGATGTTCCGATTCGCCACAAAATTCTGAGCATTTTCGAAAAGTGGTTAAACTCACTTTGTTATTTTATGTGATTTTTGGGAAATATGTGATTTGCTGGATTTCTGTGAATATGCTGGACAACTTTTTTAATACGCTTTTTAGCTTAAGATCAGCTTCATTTCTGGATTGGGCATAAAATTCTAGGCATTTGACTACCGTGATTACAATTTCATTTTGAGGTCTGTGATTTACTGTGAAATATGTGATTTTTATGAGCTCTGTGATTATGGGACAACTTTTTTAATACGCTTTTTAGCTCAGGACCAGCTTGATATTCCAATTAGGCATAAAATTCTGCCATTTTTCGTACGCGAATCGACCAACTTTCACCTTTAACATTCAAATCTAATGCAGCCTGTACGTTTGTCCAAATCGGGTAGAAAAGTGGTCAGAATTTCGTGCTGAATCCGAATTTCAAGTTGGTCTCATCCTAGAACGTATTTTAACCATGTTGTCTCACTTTCCCCTCAGTGATATCAGTGAAATCACGGTTTGCGAATCAATCACGGGGTGTGAAAATAACAAAAATCACACCTAAATTAATTTACACAGTTCTCCAAACCCTGGACGAGCCAGCAAAACTTTATAAAAAAAGAATTCCCGTTCCACACATCATAATCATCATCCTATTCCCAACTTAATTACAAAACCTATCAGTGCATTACGTTACATGACATGCAACGAAACATAATGGCCCGAGTCAAAAGGGTGTGGTTTCATAAACTCTCAAAATTTCAGGGTTACTGGACCAAGTGAAAATTGAAAAACAAATTCTGTTCGGCGATAAACACAAATTTTATCAAGCTTTATCAAAATTTTGACAAAGTTGCAAATTAAACGAATACAATTTGTGCAAATTTTACCAAGTTTTAACAAAATTGCAAATTAGATACATACAATTCGTGCAAATTTTAACAAATTTTGACAAAATAGCAAATTGCATACAGTCAATTAGTGCAAATTCCACATTATAGATCTGACTTTACAATGCAAACTTTCAACCCAGACGGACTTACATGTCGTCCACATAAGACCTTCATTTTGGACTAAGAGATTGAAAAGTTATGTGTAGCTCATCTAATCTCCTCCACACCCACTTTTATTTACATGCAGTCAAGCCCATAATAATTGGGCAAGGTGGGAAAACAGCGTTAATTTCATTCCTCTCTCGCTCTTATCTCGGCACGTTTACGCTCGAGGAGCTCGCGAGTTTAGAGACCTCATTAAATTAATTTACAAAGCTCTCCCTGATTACAAACATTTGATGAATTTTCTCTTCTCCGAAACGACATGTGCGGGAGGAGAGAGTGACGACTTATTTTTACCCGATCATTTTCATTTTATTACAAAACTTGAGACCCAAAATTGATAAAACTTCTCAATTTCGCCTTTAAAATAATTTTTCCTAAGCTTAAAACCTCATCCACATCTCGACCTAGCTGCACCGTTTCTGTACCAAATTCATTTGCATTTGGTCATGCTTTTTTAAAATTTGTAGCCAAATTGATTACCAATTTTGAAAATTAATCTATTACATGATCAGTAAAAATAAATTCAAATTTAAAAAATTTGTTGAAATTTTGGAAGCCTTAACTGAAAATCTTGCCAACTTAGCTGGACACCTTGGTAACTCACCTAGCTGGACTTTAAAGTAGCTCAAGAATGTGAATTTCCTTCTCGAATTTAATCATTATTTTTAACACCACGTGTAAATCCCTTCGTTAAAAAGTTTTAATGAACCATGAAGTTTTCAAACGCGTTCCGAAGAACGAACAAATGTTTTAAGTTTCTCTTTGTAAACTCGCATTACGAAGGAACGTACCTCGATTGCGAGCTCAATTCTCGCGTGGTTGCTTAAACTAAAAGAAGAAAACCTGCTGCGAAATGTTTATTACGATTGAATCGAATTGCGACACATTGTTGTTACTTTGCTCACTAATGGTGCAGGTGGTGGCGCCAGGCAGGCGCCGCGGAAATGGTGGGGACGGTAAAAAAAATTGCGGTAGGGAATTGCAAAGAATGAACGTGTGTTCCATCTTAGGAAATAATTTGTGAAATGATGGGGTAAATTTGGGAACAAAAGGGCGACAATTTTGTATCAAAATTTTTGAAAGACTTGGAAACTAAATTTTAGGAATTTAATAAGATTAGAGGGATAAAAAAATCCCGATGTTTCATTTCTTGCACATTTTCAGCATGCTTACGCTGAACTGCAAAAACTGCAACAAATAAGCGCCACGTAGAGGGTCACGTTTTATGCTAGACTTATTTATCAGCTAGATGGCGCTTATTTTTCGCATTTCTTACACTATAGCAAAAAAATATAAGCGAAAATAAATATCGTATTTTCGTTTTCAATTTCTTGGGGTTTTTATGCATAGCACTTCACCGCAAAAAAACTGCAAAAGAATAGGCGCTTGTAGCAGTTCAGCATTTGTCATAGACTTAATTGTAAGGATTGTCCGCTACGTGGCGCTTATTTTTTGCTTATTTTTTGCTTATTTTTTGCTTATTTTTTGCTTATTTTTTGCGTAATTTTGCTTATTTTTGTCTTTCACTCCTGCACAATTTGTTGCAGTAATTTCTTGCAAGTGATGTTTTTCATATAAAAATATGCCCCCGGTTCCCCCCACTTCCGCGGGCCTTGATTCTTCCCCCTGAGTAACTTGTTAATACTGCCAGAACGGAGAAAAATGTGGGCGAAGAGGGGAAACCATCATTCTTTTTTTTACTCTCACTACTTTCTCCCCAGTGCTTTCTCTTCCTCCAAAACGGGGGATTTATTTTGCTTGGCTGACTAACAATAATGCCTCTTCTTCGTCTCGCTAAATCAATTAGAATCCAGTTCAAATTAGAGATTAATGCGAAGAAAGGAGGAGAAAGTAATCGAATCAAATTTTTATTTTTCTTTCCCTTGCAGAGTTTTTCCTAGCGTGTTGAGAAGCTATCAAGGGGAGTCAAGATGGCAGCCTTCGTGGCCAAACAAATGGTCGGCAATAAGCTGAACGCCGTTAAAGGTGAGTACAAAATATTGTGTTATTTTCATACTTTTTGCATGTAAGGAATTCATATGGGGCAAGTTGAGACAGGTATGAAAAAGAGAAAGTTATTTGTGTGGATGTTAATCAACTTGCGCCAATGGCGTAACTATGGCGCAGGTTAGCGACCAAGTGAGACGATTTGGGGGAAATACTTTGTAAAAATGCGGTATTTCAAGCTCAGGTTTTGGATTTCTGGGGGGGGGATGTTACAACCAAAAAAGAGGAAAGTTTACATGGTGAAAGCAAACTAAAATTCGAAATAACATTTTTTTAAATTAAATTTTCCTAGCTGTCAAAATATCGTATTTTCAGAATTTTTTAAAAATACAGTGAGACAATTTACGCAGTCATTGGTAACTTTGTAAAATCTGTAGGTTTTTAGGATAATTTTCATATTTGTGAGTTGCTTTTGCATCAAATTTTGTAAAAGCCTGTAAGTTTACGTAATTTTACAGTGTTACCAAGCCCCGCGTGAATTGGCTTACTCTATTTTTAAGAAAAAATCGTGAAAATTCAGTATTTGGGGAGCAATAAAACGTAAATTTCTTTAAAAAAATGTATTGTATTTTGGTATGACTGCTCCCGTCAGGATGTAGATTCTCGTCTTTTTATGGGTTTAACTGGTCCCCTGGAAATTGAAATCGTGGGAAGAATAGAGCTGAAAATAGGGTATTTTGACCAGTATTTTGGCCACCTTTGAGTTAAGGGTGTTACTTAAGAAACATATGTCGGGGGTAAAGTGAGACCCTGTTTTTTCTGTCTTTCTCTTCGATCCCATCCTCTAGTCGTCGCTTTTGTTGACTATTTACATTTGACAAATTGGCATCATCTCTCTCTCTCCATCGTGTATACACTTTCCCCGAGGGAGCAAATAAATAGCTTTCCTGCTTTCTCTTTCGTACGTTCGTTAAAAAAAGTCAGACCCCCCGAATTGAATTACACAATTAAAAATCTCTCTCTGTGAAAATAAAGCTATATTTACATAGAAAGCTCTCAAGCTGGGTGGTGGAGTGATGATAGGAAAAATAATGGCAAAGACGGCGGAAACAGGGCGGGGACAATATTGAGAAAAAAATAAGAGAGTTTGATGGGAAACATCGCAAATTTCTGGGATTCTAAAAATAGTAGGAGAAAATTGAGAGCCTGTTGTTCAGGGAAAAACTGCAAACATTTAAGCGAGATTGATTGCAAAAATCTCAAATTTCTCGTCGTTCCCCAGATTGCAAATTTGTTAACCGTGAGAAAATTTAGGACCTTGTGAGGGACATTATTGCAAACATTTTAGCGACTTTGACTACAATAAGTAATCGCTGATGTCTAGAAATTGTGCGAACGATAACACAATTGCAAATTTTTAGCAAAACCGAACGGTTTTAAGACTTATAGGATTGCAAAAATCCGAAATGTTTCATTGTTCGCCGGGTTGCAAGAATTCCAAGGATAAATCCCAAGCGTATAAATATTATGGGGAACAAAATTGCAAAAGATTTAGCGAGTTGGACAGATTAATCCCAAATTTCTCGTTATTCCCCAGTTCGTAAATAGGAAATCCAAAGGCTGCGTGGACCATGATTGCAATTTATTTTAGCAAAGTTGAACAGTAGGATTACAAAATCGCACGTTTCATTTCTCATTGTTCCCACACCCATTTCCGCGGCGGGGACCTGGAATTTCCGTCAGTAACTTGATCCCCTCACACTCCATCAGTCGTCCGGATCGTTAAAACCTTTCCTCTCTCGAAACATTGTGTCCAGGAGGAGATTATTTCGCACAAAGTTGATAATGGCGCTGCTGCCAACAATCTGTGTGCCGTGCAAAAAGCGAGGATTTAATCCAGTTCGTTAAAGCTCTCAAAGTGATTACGCTCTGAGCGAGTGAACGACAAAATGTGACACAAAGAGGAAATTGAGATCGTTCTTGACCAACATTCGATTCGGGTGGAGAGGAAATTACGCAGGTTTCGTGATGACCAGAGGGCGGATATATTTATTGCCAGATTTTTCATTTGATGACGAGCGACGGTCAAACTTTGTGGGTTTGTTGGATAGATTGCAAAAATTTCAAAATATTTTTACGTATTGGAATATATTTCTTGGTTTTCAGACATACATAAATATTGATGGGATTATTCGAAAATGTAGGAATCTTTGCATATTTTTGCAAAAATAAAAAAAAAATGTAAATTTATCACAGATGGGAAACGAACTTTTTTCTTATAGAAATTAGACCACAAAAAACCAGCAGATTAAATTCGAAAATAAATTTTCAATTTTTCTATTATTTTTCTACATAATTCGTAAATATTTTGGCATTTTTAACAAATTAAAAGACATTTATTATTGTTACAAGAAATTAGACAAAAATTGTTACAAAAACTCGAAAGCATTGTGTATATTCAGAAATATAATTTTTTCTAAAATTATTATTTTTATGTTTTTTTCATAAATATTTCGTAAATATTTTGGCGTTTTTTGTAAATATTAAATGAGTATTTCCGAGATTTTTCCCTAAATATATAGCCGTCCTGTGTTCATGAAATCCGAGTTGTAGTAGTGATACCGAATTGTTAGGTTTGTTTTGTCCAATTATTTTGAGAATCAGCGTGTTTCGATACAGGACGAAAAATAATAATGTTTCATTTGATCTCTGTTCTCACCTGTTGTTTTGGTGGCAAGAAAATAAATATGCTCGGGGGAGGATATCGTAACGAACAGGGTTTCCTCGTGGGGATTTTATAGCCGGAATAACGGGCGAGCTCAGGCGTGAATATTGCGCGAGTAGGAATGTGTTCGGAAAAAATGCGATCTGTGACTCATATAAAAACAAATTTACTTCTGAACGATTAAATAATTTTTTTCAAAATTCGTGTTTTGTTCTGTTTATAGAGAAAAAACAAAAGAAGTTTTTGTTCAGACAAAATTAGCTTTGTTTTGAAATTTTTCTGTCTATTTTGCTTTAATTTAACAACTTTTCCTTGTTTATTTTGTATTTTTTTTGTTTTAGTTTGTCTATAATGTGAAAGCAACCGGAAACAAAATAAAAGAAAGTTGAAATAAACAATAAAGAATTGTAGCCCTAACTAATATGAATTCTCAGAATCAAAAATAAATACTAGATGGCTAAAGGTTACACAAGTATAGCTCAGTGGACAGAGTGACCCTAAGAAAATGGGAAGTCATGGGTTCGAATCCCACCGCGGAAACCTATTTTTTTTTAGCTATTTCCGATTTCCTATGTCTCAATATGAAGCCAAGTATCACCTTTCCCCCGTCCAATCGATCAACCTATAAATTTCCGAAACCCTGTCAACAATCCCCTCTCTTACGTTACGAAATACTAATCCAAATTCAATCACTATTATGTGACGCAAATGTCTCTCTCTGGCTCATTCCAATAGAAAGATAATAAAAGGCACGCATGTTTTCCTCCCATTATTTCGCCATGAATAGGACCACGGCAAGAATGTACTTTCTCTTTTTGTACAAAGGAGAACATTGTCATCGTCCCGAAACTTTTTTGCCTGGTAAGAAATTGTTCTTTTTTTCCTTCTCAATTGGAGAAAGTGAGGAAGGAAAGTTTGTTGTAATTGTGTACTTATTTGTTCGTGAGTACAATACATGGGACCAGTGGCCACGGGGGGACAGGGGGACAATGTCCCCACGGTTGTTCGATGTCGCCATCATCTCCCATCTTATATAAACCCCTATCCTCCAATGTTAATGTCCCCACATGTCCCCACCCCTTCCGCGGCCACTGTATCCAACGTAACGTAACGAAACACAGGAGAAAGTTGGGAAATTGTGCGGTTTGAAAAAGTGAAGCTGGACCAAAGGGAAGAAAATTTAGCACCCGAGTGAAACATTATTTATGGAGCGGCACGTATCGTATTTTTAAGACCGTGATCGAGTGAGCCACGTGTCGTAAAGGAGGCCTTGATTTATGACGGAAGGAGGGGAAAGGTCACCGGTAGTAAAGGATCTGATGGATGGTTTGAGGGTCCATAATTTTTGGAGGAATTGTTTCTCGAGGTGTTTCGTTTCCTGAGAGTTTGATACATTTGTTTCAGTGGAAAGAGAGAAAGGCAAGTAATTCAGGGTGCAAGAAACTGGGAGAAAGTGGTAGAAATAAGCGCCATCTAGCCACGTGTTGTATGAACTGTTTTCAGTGGTGGAGTTTCTTGCGCCTTGCATTTCTTGCAGTTTAAAATATTTACTCTAATGAAATCACTTTCTAACACTTATTTCTGAAAAGTGGTGACCCGAAAACTGTTTTCCCCCTTTTTATAAAAACTGAAAACACATAATCTGTCCGACTTTCACCTAACCGAGGATTTTTTATTTAGCTTTCACCAAGCTTTTAGTCCGCTATTTATCCACAAAAGGATGCCCCCCTCCCTCCCAAAATCCAGACTACACGAGTTCCTACCCGCTGTGGAGAAAGCCTCGAAAACCAGGCACACTTTCACCACGACAGCCTTTACGTCATATCTATCTATCAGGATAAATATTACATAAATACAGTGTCTACAATCTCCACCAAACTTCCAAAGTGTATACAAAACTATGCAAGATTTTCGGAAATCAAAGCCCTCCTCCACTCCATTGTTTCTCTCTCATTCCTATGTATCATCACGATAGAAAATACTTGAGCGAAGTGGAATATTGATAAGGTCACAGCTTCCCGTCCCGCGTGGGTGGAAGAGAAGACTGTATTTATTTATCGACTATCGGAGAAAGTGAGAGAACGATAAGCCACCGACCGACCGACTTATTGTTGTCACTTTCACCACAGCAGTGAAGTGAGTCTGGCCATCATTTGTACTGCACAATCGTATCTCCACTACCACCACCACTGCTTCCGTCGGAGACAGATCAGACCCCGGCCCAAAATAGCCTCATGATTTGCGTCACCCTAAATAATCTCGTCTCATAATGTACGTACCCTTTTGATCCGTGTGCCATAAATCGACTTTCACC